TCTCTCTCTCTCTCTCTCTCTCTCTCTCTCTCTCTCTCTCTTCGTCGTGGTCTTCTCTGCAGGTGCACACGGCGGCTTCTCCAACCTCTGGATCCGCTATGGCGGACTTCTTCTCCGATGACGACCTTCATTATGGCGCGTAACTCTCCCTGCGGCACACGACGACACGCGTGGAATAGCGGGTACCAGCTCCGATACCAATGCAATCGGACTCGCTATCTTTCACACTTCAGACGTATGCAAACAGGTGCGCAGCAAACTGGCGACAAGCGCCCACTCAAAACTCAAAGATATGGTAGCCGAGAACACAGTTCAGATACAAGTTCACTTCAATGGCTATGGCGACACAGTGCCCACACAACTCTCTGTTCGCACACACAGGATCACCCTGGATATCCCATGCACGATACTGTGTACGCACACACACACCCACACACACTGAACTCTACCTACAGCTATGGCGGCAATGGCCGCTTCTTCTCTCTCGCTCACTTCGTCTTCGGGCTCACTGCAGACCACCTCGCACAAGTCGCTGTAGCAGCACTTCCGCATGGCTCACGCAGGAATGAATGAATGGCTGGACGCGGCCCTTTGATTTATACTTTTGTAGCTCGTTGGTCTGGCCCTTTCCCTTGCCCGTGGTGCACACAGTCCCATGCGGTACTTGCTTGATTGGACTAGGACTGACTGGGACCGGTACTGCTGACTGCATGGGTTTGCGCTGCCAACTCGATGCAGTCGCACTGCCGACGTACTGCAGTTGGGCTCACCACTTGCCCAATTGCCCACTTGCCTCAGCCAAAACATGAGCAACTTCGAAAGGCCACTACTAGGACCTTCCGGAAGTCTGGGTCCTGGCCTTTCGAAGATTGTAGCAGCTATGACCTTGACCCTTCAGGACTATAGCAGCTACGACCTTGACCTTTCAGAAGTTCTACAGCTACGACTTCTAGAACCCCCTAAGAATTTTACTCGACAGATCTACAAATCGAACCCCTGCTACCTACGGACCCTACGACAGTCTACCAACTGTTGCAAATACTCAGGTCACGGTGTCGGAGGGCGCGGTGTCCCGGCCCTCCTCTGAGTGCCGAGTTCCTGATTGGTGCCAGCCCTCACTCATATGTCAGACTGTCTGTGTATTCCCGAACCTCTCCAATGCTTCTAGTATGCCTGAGTCGTGCATAACAATGGGCTGGTCCAGTTGGTGCCTGCCCTCAGCAAAAGGGTGTGCCACTGGACTTTCCATTGGTCCACGCAGACTCGGCGCCCTGCTGTACAGCAGAGCACTACCGGCCTGTGGCCGTGGTAGCCGCCGGGTTCGCCCAGGGACGCAGAAGTAGATAGGCCGGCGCAGTCTTTCCACTGCGCGCCGATCAGTCCCTGGTCAGGTTATGGGTTAGGTGCGTAGGCTCGCTGGTACAGTCGGACAAAAAAGGGGTGAAAGAAAAAGAAAGAAAAGGAAAAAGGGGAATAGGAAGAGAAAAAGGGAAGTCAAGTGTCAGATCCGCGCACAGATCTGGGCCCTCGCTTTCGTTTGGGGCGATCTAGTGACCTCTGACTGTTGCATCGATAAGACTTTCTTTTCTTTCTTTACTTCGTTTCATTATTATTATTATTAATTATTATTATCATAATTATTTTCTTTCAGTTTTTCTTCTGGTCTGTCATTTCGGGGGAAGGCCATCGGTTCGGGCCTCGATCTCAAAAAGTGGTCTACAGCCTGGGATGGCGTGATCCTTCGTATATCATCTGCACCAGACCTGCTCCGCTGAGCGTCGCGCAGTGGGACCCCAAAAGAGGGGCGACCCGCGGCCGCATCGGTAGGAGGCTTATCACCCCCGTGGAAGGTCATAAGCCCCCTCCTTGCCATCGGACACGGGTACCCGATAGAAGCAGGCAGATGGCGTATTTTGAAGGGGGAAAGACGATCGTCCGTATCCCGTTATGGGACCACCTCGTTGCATTTGTCGTCACATATTCAAAAGGAAAATGAAAAGGGGCAGTGGTTGACCGTGAAAAGCCTGTGTATGCTGCGATCGTTGGAGTTTGGCTTCGCTGTTTATCTTCGGTCTACTTGTTTTGCGAGGCGTTGAAGAATAAAATGTTTTTCCTTCCTTTTCCTTTTGTTATTTTGCTCAAGTCTATTAATTTACGAGTTACATATTTTCCGATACGGAAACGCGGAGAATTATTTGAACCCCTCGTGTAGTGAGAGGCTAGTCTTTGAGAGAGAATACGTACTAGTGAGCTGAGGCGCGAGAGCTTAGTAGCGAAGGGAATGTGCGGTAACTCGCTTGCTTGCGCACGCCAGTGCTCTAAGTGTTAAGGGAGGGGCCATTCCAGCAGAGAGAGAGGTTCGATCATGGTGCGAAGTAGTGGACTGTATGGCTACAGGCCAAGATGCATCCAGTCCCTCTGCATATGGGAGAGGATGACGGGGGACGGACTGACTGTGACTGCCATCTTGGACTATAGTTACGGCAGGCGGGAGTTGAAGCTGAAAATAAACATAGAAGGGGGGAGAGAAGAGGAAATGAGGGTGGATCCGGACCTGCAGATGGCGATCACAAAGGCAAAAGATCGAGTGGAAAGGAGGTGCGGACGGGACGGGTCACGAACGAGATGAAGGTGACGATCACGTACCTGGACGAGGGGACCTCAACGGACACAGTGGATCGGGAACAGCAACACCTGGATTGGGACACTGAGGCTGAGAGCGACGCTAGTGACCTGAACGTGGAGACCCAGTCTTGGCATGGACTGGACCAATGGAGACACGACCACCCACCTGCTGAGCCTGTTGAGAGCGGCTCGGAGGCCAACTCAAGGCGGCGGAAAGGCTAGGCCTCTGGGGACAGCTAAGGGAGAAAAACTCGCGAAGGATGTCTCAGACCCCCGTGCGAGCAGGCGCAGTGATTGAGTCGAGAGGCGGTTACGCGTGGGGGCCCAACTACACAGAGTGTGGGGGACGAGCCAAAGAGGGAACGCGCGTGAGAATCAGTATGAATGGGTCATTAACGCAACTTTTTCTCGGACAAGTGCGCGGGAGAAGCGGTTGACGTCAAACAGCTGGCCGTGCACGAGCATGGAGCGTGAGCCTATTGCGTTCGTCAGAGAAGTGCGAAACAAGTGGGCTCGTGGAGAGCGGGACAGAGCACGAGGCTGTGACTCGTATACTCAGCCTACGCGTGGCACGTTCACGCAGAGGGGTAAAAGCATCGGCGTGGCGCGCGAGTGATCAGGCGGACAATGCTCAGTTGGCGAGTGTGAGTGAGGGCGAGATGGTGTGCGTGTGAATGTAGAACGAGAGAGAGGGAAGAAAGAAGTCAGACACAGGAGGAGGGAAGAAGATCGTCTTACTAGAGTTGTTGACGTCAACCCTACGTGAGCGAGTTGACGCATCTCCCGGAGCGAGGCTTTGAGCTTCTGTGACAGAGCTGGTCCAGACGGCGCCAAGAACGAAAGGGGAACCCGTGTGCATAAGCGGAGACACGGGGTTACTCGGTACAGTTGACATCAATTGTTGCCTCGATGCTCTCGTATGGCAAGCGAGTCTGCCAATGATGCCATGTACTACAGAGAAGCCAAAACGTAACCCCATCGCTAGCCTTAGTGGTTCTAAAAAGGGCCCAAGTGAGAATCCACGAGCTGTTAATAAGTGTCACTGTCTTGACACATGCATATCTGGGTGACGTGTACTAGGACGATACATTGGGAGAGAGAGGCGAAAGGAGGCGCTCCCAAGTGAATGGAAACCGGTTGATCCGTACCGAGAGGAATCTGACGGCTCCGACTTCCCAGCTCAGATCACTTCGCTGCTGACACAGGTTGATTCTTGCGAGATAGCTAACTCGCACTCTTCAGGCCGCTCATCACCCTCTTCGCGAGGTTGTTACTTCCGGTTCCCGCTTCAGTGAGGCTATGAACGCATGAGTGCACTGTTGTCAGGCTCGGAAGTGAGAGATAACGCCAGTCAGTGCTGGTCTGGCAGTCTGACCATGCTCGAAGGACTATCTGGCCTTCAGTGTGTGCTCGACTATTCAAGCTCTATTAATGGGCGAGGGCACATTGTAAGCCTCTTATTGAAGAGGACGGTAAGTTCATTAATTAGGAGCTGGTGGGTAGTTCTCTCGTGTCAGGGTGTGTACGATTACTAGCGAGAATGCGTGAGGTACAACCACCTTTTTGTCCGCTTTCAATAGTCCTGGGACAATTGCCAAGCGAGTCGACAGATCCCTGCGAAGTCTCGGCTGGCCAGGGGTTATGAAGTCAGTCATTCGACGGAGTAAGGGGGAAAAACGAAAGAGTGAGCTGGCACGGCTAATCATGGTTTAGCCAACCATACTAACGAGAAACTTGAGTGGAGGGAAGATTGACTGCCTAAGAAATCTTTTGGTATTTGGGCTTGTATGAGTCTGGACCTAATGATGTTATTCATTAAAGCTTACTTTCATGTTACGCCTGGCTCTATATATAGACTCCATCATTTGGTTTGGCGATTCTGTTTATATGATCAGGTGAGACCAAGGTGATGGGCTTACCCTGGGGGAAAATGTTCTTTTAGTGTTAACAGGATTGCGTAATCAAACCAACAGTTTGTGTGAATGATTGCTATCAATTTAAGTTAGGAAAAATTTTAAGGTGAGGGAGATCTTCACTTGGCTGCTCGCTTCGTCTTCGTGTTCGCACCCAAAGTACTACGGCTCTGCCCAATTAACGAGGCAATTGCCCTCCGTAATCTTCCCGTGTAAACTGAAAATTGATTGAGATTGTGAATAGTGTTTCTCGCCGAAACGAACAAAAAGGTGGAATGAGTTCGCCTAACCAACTGCGCAGATAAGACTCAGGGCTACTCTGATTATGGGTATGGTTGGCATCGAAAACCCGCCTGCGATAATGCTCGTCTATAAGTGGAGTGATCATTGTCTAGGTTCTCACTGATAGATTCGGACAAGGAAGAGAGGCAAGGGTTAGAGTGAATGAGGGTTGCGAGCGAGTTTGACTAGAGCCTGAGGATACTGCATAACCAGTTCACTGCATTTCCTCCCCCGTCGAATGGGTAAGAAAAAGATTATATTGAGGGGCGTGACATACCTACTAATTAACTTCCTCCTTGATGGGGATTAACAAAATGCCTGTTCAGCATCTAAGTAGTCGTGTGTGTAACCTACTTGCCAGCATGAAGGCAGTCGATCCGTACACAGCAATCGTTACGCACGAGTTCCATTTGTCCTTCTTGTTGGGAGCTTGAACCCTTGAATGTCGTACTCTCAACTGGGACGGTATCAACCTCTGGGGTGATCAATATTTTATACTTCGCTCAGAGGCTATGGTCTGATGAATAAGAAAACGAAAATCTTATGGCCTAAGTCCTAGCCACGAGAGCTTCAGAAACTGATAAGAGCTGAATTTTGAACTTTTACACGAAGAAGGTTTCGTATGATGTGCGAGGTATTCTGAAAAATATCATCATTCTTCCTATGGCCAGTCCCTAAGGTCTAAACCACAGAGAGATTAGTGATCTGAGTGGTACTAAAATCAGGGAGTTACCCTCCCCCTCTTCGCAGACCGAGAGGCGTCAGTTGACACGTGTTGCTCAAGAGGGAAAACGTAACAGATGATGTCGTGTATTCACCTGCGGGCGCGGGATAGATTACCGTCAGTCATCATTAATAATCAAACCATTGCAGTCTATCTCTCGTGATAGGGGTATTTTCGCACGAGACAAATTCTTGCCGTAACACCTCTGGATGTAACTTGTGTAAAGGTCGTTTTGGGGGACTTGGCATGATACATTGTACAGGCCGCACGTAGTGATAAGTTCGTGAGCGTGAGCTATGAGCAACTGAGGCCATAACTCCGTCATTCGGTGCCTCACGGTCAGACGAGAGACTTGACCTTCTAGTTGATAGCCTTTGTTCTCACAGGCAGGTAGAGTACCGCGAGGTCCACGGAGTTGGTGTTCTGTGGCCAGCTTGAGGAGGCCTTGCGTAACCCCGTAAGGACTCAGATGAGGCAGACTGCAGACAGTGACCTTGGACTGTCATAGCATCCTATTTTATGAAGATCTTAGAGGACCTTCGAACAAATTGCCTGGGACTGCTTACATCAGATTCCTCATGTCTCTCTGGTATCATTGGCAAAGCTCAAGAGACACTTCTCTGATAATGTTACTGGCATGGACAAAAAGTTATTGTCTTGTTTTCCTTTTTTGTGGTGATTCATTATGAGTCCGGACTGAACCACCAGTACTCCTCGAACGAGCTATCACTTGATCCTACAACTAAGATAGGGTATTAAAGTTTGATTATCACGCAAAACACCGTTCAGGTGCCTTCTTGGCTAGGCAAGCTGGTTGATCAGGCTATCTCGATTACTCGGCCTGATGAAGACCGGATCACTAATCATCACATACTTAGTAGGCAACAGCCTCGAGTCAATTCTAGATACCGCTCAGTGAGTACTCCCAGACTATTTATTCAAGCCTTGATGATAAATGCGATGATTTAGCGTGACAGAGAATCTCAGCAACCAACCAGAAGCCTGTCTGTCCCCAAAGTGTCGAAATCGTCAGGGTTGTCTATAATCCATCCCACCTACGATCCTGGCCTGAAGATGTGAAAAAGAACAATGAGAGAAGGGGAGGTCCTAGTGGTGAAAGGCAGACTAAACATTGATAAGAGGGAGGGATGGAAGGAATTTGCAGTCAGAACCGCGGGGGAGAGAAAGTACATCGAGTATGTAATTTACTTTTATGGATATGACGACAGACTGCACAGTACCAGCTCATTGCTAGAGTCAGTGGAGCAAGCTAAAGCAGGGATCGAACATGCATAGGGGTGCCAGAATCTTCAACTTGAGTCCATCACTCACTTTGTTTCTCTTTCCAACATTTCTCTATTATATGATCAAAGTTCGAAGACTTTTCCGGCTGGACAATACTCGGCCGCCTAAAGTACTAGAAAATCCTCAATCAAAGAGCAAACGATATCTAGCATCCGGTTACTTATGTAGCATTCAAAACAGTATTCGGAACAGTACTCAGAACAGTATTCAGAACAACATTCAAATGCTATTCAGTCAGTAATCAACCACTACTCGACCAGCATTCAACTGTTATTCAGTCAGTGCTCAGCCATTACCTAATCAACTTCTAATCGTTATTCAACTAGTATTCAATCGTTGAAGTTGTTTGAAGCTCGCCGCCGGAGCCAAATCTGCGAATGGTTAGACCCTTTTACTCTATTCGAATATCAAGGTATCTAAGGCATTGTTCACGCTGAAGAGTAGGGGAAGTCAGTTCCATCATCCAACTTTCTCACATGAGTGCAATCCGATCATTCCCAATCCAAGAGACTGTACTGGCTAGTCTCAACAGGATAGCTACAAAGGATGCTTTCCAATACCGGTATGTCAGTGCTGATGTTTTCAGGGAGGGAGACCTGTCCATTTATGTGGTCCACACTGAGTTCTCTTGTGGTACCATTCATGACCTGAGGCCATATTTGAAGAAGGGCAAGGAGTCTCATAAGCATTTTGACTCGGTCTGGACTGCAGCAGCCAGGTACCTGGAAGAGAGGGAGAGAGAGCTCGAT